TCTACCGGAACTATTATGGCTTCAAGTTTTGCACCCAATGCCATATTCAAGATGGAAAAACATTGTTTGTCATGATGTTGTCACAATTTTAAAATTTTTTTGAATTTTCAAAAATTGATTTCTCAAATTCTGTAATTTCTCTGTTAATTTTATGTTTATTACTTGTTCAACAGTTTCATGCGACTTACCCCTGCCCACATCAAAGAATTTCACGAAATTTCATGAAAATTTGGGATTTATTGGTTCCCAATGTGCATACCTTCTTTGACAGTTTCTTTTCTTTTTGACTTTCTCCGAGTTGTCCCGCACAATTCTAAATAAACTTCGTTTTGTTCATTTTCTGTTTATTGTTCTCTTTTTGATAATCTGTTTTTTCCATCTCATATACCTTATATGGAATCAATTTCAGTTGCAGGTGTAGGCTGAAACGATTGGAACGACAGTGCTGACGGCAGAGGATCTCGATGAGTTCCAACTACATCACCTACTACGAAAAATGTGGACAACGCTAGGATGCAAAGAAGGTTGTGTAACCTTCTTTTGACTTGATAAGAACTAACACTGAATGTTCAATGTTTAATTAAATAAGAAATTCATTAAGAGGAGTGTATTAGCGTCTTCTAACGGGTGGCGGAGAGAGGTTGCAGCTTCCACCTTCACAACAATCCATCCACATATTGAAGTTGATAGAAGGTATGGAATCACATTTTTCAAAATACTTAGTAGTGTTTCCGTAATATCGGAAAATGTTACGCTGAAAGGAACGCAGTTGGGTTACATAGAAGAGATGAAGAGTTTCTTACGGGGACTCGGTCGATGTCATCTCCATCGTCACAGAGAAGACGAGAAACTGAGGATTTACGAATCTGCTGGAGCTGTTCCTTTGTGAAAACTCCATCGTTTTCATACCTGGAACATGAACTTATCAACCATTTTCATATTCATTTGTCGAACCAGAATCGGTCACCATCACGTAAGCGTCTGAACTGGTCTCCTATGATACAAGCGAATGTAGGACCCATGAGGGCATCTGGTAAACGTTTTTCGAGTACTCCTCCAACCCATAAGTCGATGTTAGCTGAAAACTTTCCTCAATATATTTTTCAAGATATGTCGCAACCTGGATGTCCATAAAGTTTCTGGAGCTTAGCCCTGGCGGTACTATCTACTACTTCCTTGGACAACTCTTCCCAGGTTTCTGGAGCAGACAAGTTGCACCACCTTCTGTATTCGATGTAACTGTAAATATTTATGTATAATAATAATTTCGTAAATCGAGAAACCCAGGGAGAGCATGATCACGACTTCTTTGGATATTCAGAGCAACAAGATCCAGGGCAACCTGTGAAACCATTACGTATCGGTTAAGGGGCTTCTCAAAATACCTCATGATATCGTTCGAATAAACGCTCTGTCAATTCTGAGTTCACAGGCTGATCAGATCTGGGAAGCTTGAGAGGAGCTGCAAACAGTCCTCTAAGAAGTGGATCGATTCCTCCTTCCGAAAGCAATCGCTCTGGCTCGAAGAATGCCTATAATTCTCTAGTATTAAAGCATCATTGTTATGCTTTTCTAACCTTATGAAGCGGTATATGCCCTTCGTTGATCTCGCTGAAGTTTTTATCAAAACGGAAGAGAACAGGATTTATAATGGTATGACCGAACCTAGAACATATGTAAACAAGTTATGAGCTGTTCTAGCACCTGAATGCTGCTGTAGCAAAAGCATTAGCGATGGAAGGGTTTACGTCTGGCTTATATCCTGTGTACTCTCCAACGTATTCATTATAAGCAGGCTAAACATGAACGATTAGCAATGTTGTTATTATTAGTAACCAACTCTTCCTAAAGCCAATGGGAGCCAATGTTGGAAGGTGATATGCTGAATGATAGCAACGTTGATCTTTCTAGCTTCTAAGAGTAAGACGTTAAAACCTAAGAAGTGGTTTTCAACAAACCTTGGAAAATGGTTTCTCCATCCCAATTGACATTTAGTTCCAACAGCTTTCCAGCAATCCTGTTGTGCTCTCGCATGAAAAGAGTGTGCATAGCAGTTAATCCCAACTATAACAATCTCTATTGTGACTTTGACCAACTCGTCGTACCTGTTCGTTTGCTCGAACATCACCTGCCAGAAAACATCTCATGGGGTTTTCAATAGAGAAGTTGCGTCGGCAGTCCATATCCGAATCCTTTTCAAAAGGAAGGTACGGTTTTTGAGCTCTTAAGAAAGAATATATTTGGTAAAGAAACCAGCTTACAGACTTGGAAACGATGTCGAATCTAAGAAGACCATGGTCACCATATAAATCGCGAAGTTCTAAAGCTTGTACTTCAGAATTTCCATAAACTCCGGACCCATCTAACCAAGAGGTAAGCTGAAGCAGATCATTGATTTGAATACTTCTTTGATTTTTTGCACACCGTGTTCATTTGGTCGCGATATGTAACTCTCTGGAAGATCAAAGACGTTTCACCGCTTCCACAAACAGCTCCATTTCTCTCAAACTCCATACAAGGGTATTTAATATTTCTGAACATGTTGCATGCCACTTATTAAGAAATCTTGGTTCTTACTTTCCAGTTTTGAGTTTTGGATCATCAGGAGAGAGCTGAATGTTGAAACATGGGTCAATGTTCTCACAAGTCCTGTTACAAATGGCTCCACTTGAATAACTCTGACGTGCCAAGGCAATTGCTGTGAATGTCAAATCATGATCTGCAAATCATTCACAATGTTTCTCTTTCAATTAATTTATCCTCACCAATCCATTGTCCCCATTGAAAAACGAAGGCGGATAAATGGCTATGTGGTGTAATATCTTTAGTGGAGATTACGGTACGTGAAACCTTAGAAATCTCTTGTTATTCATTTTTGAAAAGTATGACTCACTTCTCGGGCATTGGGCATTGGATAACCTCGATATAATCTCCCTTTCTCCCATCCTACGGGCGTATTGAACCCATTCTCATAAATCGGAGGAAGATGGCGGAGAAGCGGCATAGAAGAAGCTCCCCAAGCTGGATTTTCCAAGTTGTTACATTGACCATCGTAAGTTCTGAACACAAGAGAACGGTGAACTATAAATCAGATGAAACCTTAGCTCACCTATATTTCTTATGGAAGCACATATCCGTGCAATGATCTTTCAAAACTTGTCCTGTCTGGCAACCTGACAGCTCCATCAACGTTTGAATATAGGAAACGGGTAGAACAGCTTCGTAAGAAACATTAGGAGCTAACTGGTTGACTGGCAAGTTCAATCCTTCAAAAAATCTGATTAAGGTTTTATTTGTAACTTTCTGGAACCTCTATTAACATGCTCGTAAATGAGACGGAGACTTTCTTCATAAACTTCGCGAGCTTTAGCTAAAGCCAGAGACTGAAAAAAGGGAATTGTGATTCAAGGTTTTTCACAAACAACTCACGTTAGCAGGAGCTGCAAATCGGAAAAGTCTTTTGAGATCATCTGGATTGGTAATCTTATCAACTTTTCTCATTTGCTCGGTGACAGCAAAAGCTCTATCTACCGTGTCTTTAGCGGTTTTGGACAGTTTTCTGATTGTCTCTTCATTCACTAGTGAATCGATCTGAACGACCACATAGAAAACAATTTTAGTGAAGGATATCTACCTCAGCAAAAGCTGTGTGGTTTACTGTAAGCCTAGCATCAGACATTATGGCTCCAACGGTATTACTGGCAGTGCAAGAGTATAAGCCTTCATACTGACGGGTTGCATGAGGAATGGTCACTTCAGTTCCATCTCCAGAGATCTTAACCATTTTCAGTATGATAAAGTAAGAATCCTTGTAAATACCACAAAACGTCCAGCCGATGGCGTAATTACAGAACCTTCGAAGAACCAAGTTAAGCTGGGCTGGGGAACTCCTCTAGCACGACAGCGGAAAGTTACAGGGTTTCCTAAGTTGGCAGTCACATCCATTGGAGCATCAACTATGGTAGGAGGGACGCTCGCAACAAGGTGAAGTCTAACAGTGTGGTCTACGCGGCCATGGACATTCACTCCACTACATGAATAACTAAATTTTTATATTAGAATTTTGGAGACGTCTCTACGAGATTCTAACCTTCCAACATCAACTTCTAAGAAAGGGAAGATCTTGAGCAGGGCATTTCCGTTTGAAAGATCATATTTCTTGGAGTTCTCAATAGGCTGAAACAACCATAATTGGAAGTCGAATTATCAGACACTCGATACCTGTCTCTTATGGTACCATGTTATGACTGGTTCTGGATCTCCTTTTATCTCACAGAAAAGCTTAACTACGGTGCCTTCTCTTCAAAAAAAATGAGATGAGAAAGAAAACAATTACTGGCAAGCAACAAACCTGTGTGCACTGTCCTTAGGCTTGTGCTGGAAGTATGGAGCTTTTCCACTGTTACGCCGATGCGAAGTGTGACGAACATCTCTGAAGTTCATTGTAAAAGCTATGAATGATTCAACAATATCACCTCTTATGTAATGGTTCATAATCGTAAGCACAACTGAGTGTGTGTAAGTTCTCTGCCCCAACTGGAAGAACTACCTCTCCAGCTGCAGTGTGTTCAAACTCATTGATGAATACCTCTTGCTTCCTATTATTCAACACATTGCTTTGAGATAGACTGTAATCTAACTCACTTTCTAACCATAACTACTGTGGCTCCGTCTGTGGGCTCGCAGAACAGGAGTATATTCGTGTCTTTTGCTGTCTTTTTGGGGCTATCGCAGTACATAGCTCCTTCCTCAACCTATTAATGAGATCTGTTACATTCGGACAATTGCTTCTCTCTCACATCATTCATACTGACTCCTCTGAGTTCGGAAGGATAGAAACATGTGGAATCAGATCCATAAAGGTTCAATACTTCAGCCAGCCATTGTAATCTTCAGTTATGTTTGTTTGAATAAGATTCTCAGATTGGAATTACCTGCAGTCACAATTCCAGGGGTTAGCATGCAAACGGAGAATTGCTAGTTTGTGGTTGTTTTCAAAGATTCCTTCATAAAGAGTGCTAATACTATTTTTGGATAAGTCAAGTTGAACCACATCATGTAAGTATTGGAAAACCTAAGGACGTTTGAATTTTGTCAGATTCAATAACTTTGAAATACCTTTCTGTCGACTCTTTGAATTCGATTGTAAGCTAAATCTAGAGAAACTAAGCCTGATGGCCTTGAAGAAAAATTCAGAAGATAAGTGAGTCGGTTGTGAGAAAGAACCAGACGCTTAAGATTTGGTGCGAAATCCAAAATGTTCTGAAATTCTTTTCTATTGTGGGCTGAATGGTTTTTCGAATAACCTCATCGATATGGTTCAAGTTGTTGTCAGTTAAGATCAAATTTTTCAAATTGGGTAGATCAATCAGATCATGGATCAATAATTGGGTGAGTTTGTTGCCTTTGAGAATGACTGACTGAATATTCTGCGGGATTCCAGTTGGGAACTTTGTAAATCCTTAATGTAATTGATAATGAAAGTAAGAGGAAGGGCTTAATACCTGAGTTCGCACAATCTGCTGTGTTACCCAAGCATTTACACTTTTCGGGACATGCCGAAGCGCCTATGGCCAAGATGGCCAGGCTTACCAATAGCATCACTATAAAATTCATACGTAAATTAGAATATTTCACGTATCACGTGATTGCGAGAACCAATGAGGAATCATTTTGATAATTCAGATGTAGTGAGCGGTTGTGTCTTTCCAAAAATTGAAAAAAAAAAAAAGAATTTTCTCCTTATAAGGAAGAGGAACTGTAAATACAGGGAAAGGAAAAGAAAGTGCGAGCATTTCATGAATGAGAGAGGGAGGAATGAGATGAGAAGGAACGTTTAGATGTCACAACATGCAAATTACAGAATCATTTAAGTTGATCTATTATCTTTAAATAAGGGAGTAGGAAAAAGCTCGTTAATCATTTGAAACAGCTGAAGGAACAAACAAAGACAAAGAAAATATCTATTGGGTATACGGTAGATATAGATGTTAAAAGAAGAAGCTGAGATGAAATGAAACTTCGGAAGTGGACCGATTGACAGACGAGCTGACGAACAAAATGAAATTGAAATGAAAAAAAAAGAAAAATAGAATGAAGAAATGGATTGATGAAGATGAATTATTTAATTTTTCAATTCTCTTGTTTCATCATGGCAGTCAATCAAGAGTGAGAAGAAGCAGGAGGTGAGAGCAAGGTACAGCTAAGAACATCAATCTGAGAAGAAAAGTATGGATGAATGAAATCAAAAGAGCAAATGAGTTAGCAGCGAATGGAATGCATATGGAAAGAGTAGACAGAAGAGTGATAGACAAAGGATAGGAAAGAGTTGAAAAGAGATGAGCTTAGATCTTAATGAAACCACGCCTCTCTAATTTATTATATTTCTTTCAATTCTATTCATATCATGTACTATATCCTTAATTTACAATAAAATATATAAAAGGTTCAAAGATTGGACTAAAAAATGTGAATGACAGGCAACAGATGGTATATGGCGGAATAGGACAGAGATGAATTGGATGTACATGAAGATTAGTCAACCAATATCTCTGTAAAAACCCACGATGCTCCGGACTTGTAGCCCAGATGGCCAGAAGACCGTCAAAGCTTCTGTTGTTACCGTATAACTTGTGCTATATAGTTCGACCTATCATTTACATTATGGATATGTAGCTTTGATCTTCAAACTGTTGCGAGTGACCTCTTATAGAAGTGTTAGGTTTACGTCATTCAATGAAAGACGGATCTGTAGGCCGAACAGCTGAACTGACCGCTCTGCTATCATATCCATATTTCCATTTTGAATAAGATCATCATCACATTTCAATTGCATTCTATTGCTTCACAGACAATGTCATTGAAGAAGGGTTTCAACTCAAAAAATGGACAGGAAGTTCATTAAATTATTCAGAATGTGTCAAGTACATGATGTATTTACCCAAAA